AAAATAAAATATAATATTCACGATTTGTTTAAGACGACATAACCGTGAGTTTACGCTTTCAAAAATCTTTCATTAAAATATATTGTTACTAGCTTTCGCCCGCGACTCCGTCTGTAGAATTAAAAACAAAAGTAAGTAACCTATGAGTTCTTCTAGACTATGCTCCGTTTAGAAGTTTAGGCTACAAACTCTATCATCCAACCATCCATCTAAACATTCGCATTTATAATAATAGCAAGATGACAGTTTTTTTTAAAAGAATATGAAAGATATGCAATGTGTGTTTATAGAAGAGTTTGGTGTTAGCACACCGTTTTGTTTTTGTACAAATAATATTTAATAAATGTACAAAGTTCACATTAAGACAACCTTTAAAATGAAAATACGTTGCCGAGTAAACACGAAATAAAGAATACAATCTAAGTAAAAGAGCAAAGGTTAAGAAACTAGCAGAAAAATAACAATGCTACGGAGATTTTTATCGTCATAAACTTGCCAGCAGCATCGGTGAATTTGTTTTATTTTCGATGAAAATATTTTTATTTATTGAACTAACACGGACGGAATTTTAAAGCTTTCTTGTGTGTTATATATATATATATCACTATAAATATCTCCATAATCGAAATTTATTCCGTGTTTTTTAATGTACTTTGTTTTTACTTATTTTTAGTTTAATAGTTAAGTCGTTTAAAAAAGTTGCAAATTCACAAATAGTTAGACAATTTCCTAGAACAAATCCTACATATTATACTAGTATTATTGTAAAGGTAGACTAGAGAAAAGTTTTAAGTGTTCAATAAAAACTAAATTTCAAGTGTAATATTTGTAAGAACTGAACCCCGCTTTCGATTATAACTTGTACCACTCACAGTGGCTAGAACTAAAGGCATTCTTCCAACAACAGTGGACCTAGAAAATGGTTGCAATGAAGTGAAGTAGAGTTGGAGAGATAAATTTCTGTATTTCGCAGCTCTTTTGTCTACACTTTCGAATGAAATTAACCGTTTGAATTTGAACTGTGACGTAGCAGATGAAATAAATCACCTCGTTTTGTATTACACAAAACTTTCTTGTAGTCTGTTTTTCTTAAATAGGAAGTACTAGATTTCGCCCGCGACTCCGTCTGCGTGGAGATAAAAAATCAAACAAAAGTGAGCACACTGTGTTTTTACAGAGTATCCTCTACCTATATCAATTTTCATCTAAATCTGTTCAGCCGTTTAGACTACAAACTCTATCAAACATCCATTGATCCATCCATCTATCTAAATTTTCGTATTTATAATATTAGTATGAACTTTTAGATTGGTTGATTGTTTATATTTAGGTTGTAAATCATACTTACTTACTTACTAATATTATCAATGCGAAAGTTTAGATGTATGGATGGATGTTTGTTAGAGTTTGTAGCCCAAACGGCAGAATGGATCTCGATGAAATTTGGTAAGATGTAGAGGATAGTCTATAAGAACACATAGGCTACTCACTTTTGTTTTTTTTTATTCCACGCGGACGGAGTCTCGGGCGAAAGCTAGTTGTATATATTTTAGTTACAAATTCATACTTACAGCCTCGTGGTTCATTAATGGCATTTAAATTCTTTCTTATTAACTTTTTTTCTCGATAAATAAGCAGTAGTGTGACTCTGAGTTAAAAAGAAGTGCTTATATTACTGTTATGCTTTTTAATTTTGGATCGGTGTTAATCTATTTAATAATTTTAGTATGATGTTATTTAATTGTAAAATGCCAACGGCGCGAGCTTTTTCCACGGCAACATTGGAGCTGAAATTAAAATGGCTTACTCTTGTATAGACTGGTATTAAAGGCGGAACTTTAACGTTGAAATAGTATGAAATATCATTTGATTTGAATAAAATTGAGGCTGGAAATTAAAAAGATATATCTATAAAGCATACATTCCCGTGTATTTCGATGGCTCCGACGTAAATGATCGTATCCCACAATTTTTCCTTTTGTACAGCGTTGAATGATTTTTAACTTGATGAATACTGCTATATACTACTATGATAATTTAAAAGTGAAATAAAAATATTTAACACAACGGTTTTCAATTAATTTTTAACATTTTTATGTTGCTTTTCTGTGAAAATGCCTTTGATCACACTAACGTATAGTATACCAAGATTATTTGTATTCATTGAATTAACTCAAAAACTACTGGGCGGATTTCAAAAATGTCTTTACCATTAAAAAGCTACGTAATCAGTGTGTAATTTAGGCTATATTTTTTATCTATAACAGCTAGTATATATTAAATTTAAATAAAAAGTTACGTACAATGCAAGTCATTGGCAATTAATATTCCACATGTAAGTCTGTGGAAACTATTGAAGGTAGAAGCAAAATGTTAGTTCCCTATAAATATGTTGCGAGCAAGCTTATTTAAAATAAAACTCATAGCTCGACTGCAGAGTAAGCAAATCTAACCCAGTTTCGTAATAACTAGTCATAAAACAACCTCGTCCCTGCCCCTAACCTCGCGCGAGCGAAGCCGGAGCGCTAAGAAAAAAAGAAAAAAAAAAGAAAACACATTCGCTCATTTATTTACGAGTACCGCCTTTAAGGCTTGCTTGCTCTGGGCCATTAGCAGGACCGCTATGTCCATCCCTTTCTAACCAACTGACTGCTGTTAAGCTATCTCTGACGTATTTGCTGGCTCTATTCTTGGGGGTTAAAACACTTAAACTTTACACTAGTGTAGAAAATGTGTTAGTAAGGGCACACTTTCGAGTTCATTTGCTCTAGGTAATGGTCACCCTGGTGATTGTCATTGTTTACTTCAGTGGAAGGGAGCACACAAAATGTCTCCTCAATAATTTACTTTTATAAAACGTAACGATAGAAATTGTCACAATTTTTAAATAACACGAAAGTTACACTAACATGAATTCAAAGTACAGTCGCGGTATCTGACGGTGCTCAAGATTAACATCTACAGTTCAAACGTACTAAAAAAGCGCGGAACAAATTAGGATGCAGATTTGTAATGTCTATACGAAAAATAGGTTATTGCTTTTATTATTAAAAAGTCATTACCCCAACTCGATGATACACAATTCGTTATTTCTCTGTAAATGTAATACCGCAAATTTTTGCGACTGTACATAGTAGGGACCTAGTATAATTAATGTTAACTGTAAGTTAAGTAAAAGTATGGATAACTTATTTTATACTCCTATATTGAGATAAGAGAACGTGTACATATACAAATACTTATTCAAGGATGTTAACGAGAATGCAAGCGATTAGTAAAAATTGAACAAAAACTTAATGTAGAAATTTTTAGTATTGTACACACAATACTTTACACAAAGTTTAACATGTTTAAAAAATGTTATTTTCAAAAACTGTACAATCAATTTAGTCAAGACGCAAAGATTCACTAAAACACACAGCAGAGAACAGCTCTATAGAAGATAAAGTTAACTCCACACCAAACAACAAAGCCATTTCGTATCCGACGCTTTGAAACTCATTATTTATATTTCCGCTTCTTTGTGTGTAAGTGGTGCCTTACCCTAATCATTTATAATAAACCCCATTGGGGATTGTATAGTGTAACACTGCGCTAGTTTTGGAAGGTATCCTTGCTAGGATTTCATAGGATCAAATAAATCTCGCAACGAATACTCTCCGATAGTTTTCCTTGACATAATTGCGATCCTTGGATACTTTTTCTTTGTAAAAACCACTCCGGATTTAATAGATCGTTATCCAAAAGTTCCCTTTTGTTTTGAGACAAAGATGCGGTAAGAAAACGGCTCAAAAGTTTTTAAACTTTATATACTTTTGTTCGATTATCGTTTTTATGAATGAATGAATATAAAGTTGGAATTAGTCTCAAAAGACAAAAAAACTTTATGACAAGACCAGAATTTTTTTCTTATGACCTTGGATTCCAATAAGATTGTAAATGAAATTAACCATCGATGGAAATGACACTTCTCATTCGATTAACTATTCATTATGTGAAATTCTATGCAATTACTATTGTAATGGTGACCAAACGTAATGTCAACTTAATATGGACACGCCGAAAATCCCTCAGGACTCGGAACCAGTCCGTACGCATTGCGAAACCTAAATAATAAATGGGAATTTCTATTGCAATTGAATGAGTATTTAATGTTATCTTATAGGATATTTACAAGAAATTGTTACGAACGTTGATAGCTCTAAAGGTAGGGGGAACACTGAAAAAGAGTGGATGGATTGTGTAAAAGAAGAAAAAGAAGAAGAAGTGAGATGTATCGAAGAGATGCACATACTGTGCCGAACCTCCTAGGAACAAGGGCAATTTGATGATGACGATGACAAATATAAGCACTTTAATAACAAAAAAAGAGAGATAAAAACGGATAACGAAGTAACGGCTCGTGCCGAGGCTCCTGAGGGAGCCCTCAATCTTAGTTACTCAAAAACGAGGTTTAGGCTAAGTGCGATCTGCGATCGACTACCTCAAGCCCAGTGTATCTGTAAATGCCTCTTCAAGTGTAGTGCAGGACAACAGTGGCCATTCAGTCACAAAAATAATAGAGATAAAGTGTCTAACCAATAATTTTGAAAATATCAGAGAAAAAAAAATTAAGACCTTCTACAATCGCAATAGTTGTGGAATCACTAACTGAAAACTAAATTTTATAAGACAAGGTAACAATGGCGTAAAAAATGGATTATTCGAAACGTAACTCAATATAGAATTCTGTAGATTTGAAGCCAAATCTTCAAGTACTTGATACAAACTGACTGCTTTTAGGTATTCTGAATCACTGCCAAAGCCGCGACCTTTGCGATTGCATACTTCTGAACAAAACTAAGTTACACTTGTCGAATTTTGTAATGCGAAGCTACAATTCTGTAAATAAAATTTTCCATTTCAAAATTCTACCTCTTGTCATCGTTTCATTTGAAATTTTTTACTGCTTCTGTTAGTTGAAAATTTCATTTACCTTTAGATTGAATTGAAAGAAATCAAACACTTTGATAATCTTTATTCTAAAGAATGGGTAAACTTTTTATAAAAAAACAACATTATTTTTCTTTCGTTCAAATAACATACATTCCAATTTGGTATGTTTCTTTTCCCCTTTGTAGCGTAGCATTTTATTTTTATGGTCCTGTCTTTCCGAATATTTCCCTTTGCCTCGCAACCCATCGTAATTCCAAAGAATTCTCGAATACTTGGCAAGGTTTCCTGCGTGTAAGGCAATAGTTCCCGATGACTGCCGTACATAAAACGGGACTGAGTAATGAAGCATGATAAATAGGACAATAGGTTAAGCTCTTGTCGTTTGGTAGTGGTCATCATATACACTCGATTCCGTATTGCTGTCACTTTTTATCACCTCTATATTCTTAATAATTGCTTTCAACTGGTCTTTCAAAACTTTATTCACTCCAATAGATGAGGTTGATCTGGTCATTCGAAGGAGATGCGGTAGTATGTTCACATTGTCAAGCGCTAACCCTTTATTTTTCGGTCCATATAAGCTGGATATTTTAGATATTGAGTACACAGATGATTCGAGAAGCTTTGCTGTATAAGATATCAAACTTCTCACGCCGCATGACACGACGAATAGGAAGAGAGAAAATCCGCCCATGATATAAATCTTTTCCATGTTGCTCACAATGATTAGTTTCTCATATTTATCTTGTTGTCCCCCGAATATAAGTTTTATTGTACTCATCAATGGGGTGTACATACCGAGGTAAATGACCACCACGAAGTAAAGCAGCATTGCAGTCAAGTAATAATTTTTATATTTTCTAACAGTTTTGTTAATATATCTTGTAATCTTACGTACATCGTTCGCTGGATTGAGGAAGGCACTGACCAGTGACATTTGTAACACTAAAAGGCAAGTTAATACAAAAAAATATAAATCCATAATGGTAGTGTTTATCTGCAAATAATTTATACATTTGGAATCATTTTAATTGATTTTTTGTATGTGTTTTGCTAATTTGTAAATTTTAATTTTATTTGACATGATAGCGAAATGACATATTTGACAGAAGATTTGTACGAAATTATTTTCTATTTTTTTTTTGTTGATTGAAATACTTTTTGTCCAAAACGAGTTTCCCATATCAAGTTGGTTTTTCTCTCTCTTTACTATCGATATTCCTTTCTAACTACTATTAAATAACAATAAGACGGATATTTTTATTTCCTTTGTCTTCTTGTTTTTAATATTCTCTTATCTACAGCTCTTCGATTCCACCACGCTTCAAATGTTGTTATACATAATTGCATAGACATAAAGTGCCTCGCTTCCCCTCGCATGATTTAATTTGTTATCAAGCTTTCACAATGCCGCATCGAAAGCGAAAATTGTAACGAGAAGCCTATTTACTCTGTTGATACTTTGCCTTGGAACAAAATAACGGGCCGGTACGACGAATATATTACGCAAGCGAACATACGTCGAGCGGCCTCTAACACCCACGCTGTGCACGTCAGCCATTAGAGCGAGTGAGTCGGATGTATCGTTGTTCCGCTCTCTCACACCACGTGTTTCACCTGCCCCCGTGTACTCAACGTTCCTTTATCACGACCTATGTCGATTCAATTATTTTGAACTGTTGATTTTGCAGATGTTGATATTTTCAAGGTCTCACGCTTTACTTCAATTGATTTCAGGTAATTACTTTATTATAATTTCTAAGAAATTTTAGATACGTTTAAGCGAGACATTTGTCAAGGGTAGTAGTATTTCTACTGCATCTCAATCAGTATTAGAAATGTTACTAAACGTATGCAGTTTAAAAATGCAAAAACGTGACACACAACGAAAGAGATTAAGTCTATGATATCGCACTTCTCGAAATTGGTTGAATTGTATAGACCAGCTAGAATCGCAATACAACAAACCAATTTAATACTTTGGAAAAACATTACCTACACAAACTCCGATAGAGCAATAGTTACTCGAATATAATATTGATTTCACTTGTTGCTTCCATCGGAAATGGAACAGTTTATTTCATAAAATTGTGCTACAATTTTGCATATTCCCAAAGTTAGTGATTTAACTTTTGTTGTTGATGAAGTTAATATTGAAGAATTTAATAGTTTAGTCAAATAAAGACTAAAGTAATAAAATAGTTTCATCAACTTGGCGTAAAATAGGATAATTCTATAGAATCGGTTCAGATTCTAAGATAGGCAACGAACCTTCATCATATTTGATTATAGAAGCAGCATCAAAAGCACCGCTTGCCATTTTCTATAAAATGTAATTAATTCTCTCTGTCTCCGTTCATGTTCACCATAGCAACAATTAAAAGATGTACGGAAAACCTGTACTCAATAGGCGCAATCATCCATAATGAGGGCGCCCTTGTTACAGACATATCACTGTTTACAATAAGGACAAAACGTTGAGCCCGAAAATGAAACATTCTACAAAGGGAAAAAGGTCAATCGTGTTATGTCCACTCCCTTGAAGGTTGGGACAAAAGACATATTAATGTTGCCTTTTGTACAACTATCTAATGCTGTAGTAAAAGTGTATTGCGTTAATGCACTACTGGAACATAAGTTAGAAAAAATATTTGTCAGTCATGAAGAATACTAAATTTAGATAGTATATTTTATTATAAACTGAACACAATATAACTAAAACAAAACACTGTTGAAATTAGAAGACAAACCAAAGAAAGAAGAAAAATAAAATAAAAATGGTAACATAAAACTACAAAAACTAAAAATGTAAAAGTTGTTATAAAATGTAGAGAATAACAAGAGAGGACAACGTAGATAATATGAGAAAATTAGCTCCGGACTCCGATACAAAACATTGAATGGACAAACTTGCCTCATGAAACTTCGAACCGAACTACAAATACGAAGTTTACGTTGTTGCATAAGTCATACTTTTGAGGTCTTGTATTCGTCTAGCCTACAAGTTTCAACAATCGTAACAATTTTATTTAATTATAGATGACATTATAAATATGTTTATAAATCTATATCTTTACTCTTATTATAAAGAGGAAAGGTTAAGCAGATAAAGATGAAAGATAAGATTATTTTTAAATGTATTGGAGTAACTCAAAAACTACTGGGCCGATTTCAAAATTTTTTACACCATTGTAAAGCTACGTTATCAGTTAGTAACGTAGGCTATATTTTGTATGCAAACGAAGCCGCAAGCAATAGCTTGTACTTTATGTATTAAATTGTTTAGTTGGAAAATTATATTTTATAAACAAGCAGTTAACTAATCCTATACTAATATTATAAATGCGAAAGTTTAGATGGATTGATGGATAGATGGATGTTTCTTAAAGTTTGTAGCCTAAACGTCTGAACGGATCTCGATGAAATTTGGTATAGATGTAGAGAATAGTCTGAAAGAACACATAGGCTACTCACTTTTTTTTTCCACGCGGACAGAGTCGCGGGCGAAAGTTAGTAATTAAAATTTTTAAATTGTAAGCAGTTCTTTGCTATCATAAAGGTTCAGTTTATAATTACTATTTTTTAGTACTAGTTTAATTAAGTGTTATAACTTTTTATGTATTACAATTCTTTAAAAATTAAAAACAAAGCCTTAGGCGTTCGTATTAATTCTGCTTCAGAAACTTTGTTTTAAATTTATCTGATTGCGGCTCTGTTTCGGAGTTTTAAATATCCCGAGACCCTTAACTTATAAAACTGAAAATATGTCCCTTCGCTTTGTAAGAACATTTCTTAAAAAACAATTTTTATCTGACTGAAAGTTTCGTTTTCTTATGAAAAATAATAAAAATGCGGTCATAATAAAGAACTCTTATAATGTTAAAAACTGAATTAATTTAATTTAATTTTGAAGGTTGAAAACCACATTATACGTAATACAACCACAACAAATATGAAAACAATTGTTTAAAATATTCAATCAAGTATTTATTTAACTACTAGCTTTCACCCGCGACTCCGTTTGCGTGGAATTTAAAAAACAACAAAAACAATAGCCTATGTGTTCTTCCAGAATATCCTCAACATCTCCAAATTTCATCAAGATCCATTCAGCAGTTTAGGTAACAAACTCAAACAAACATCCATCCATCTAAACTTTCGCATTTATAATATTAGTAAGATAAATAATTCCCCTAATTCGAAATTTAACTAATTTTGCAATCCCACATACTAATGTCATACACGCAAAAGTTTGGATGGTTGGATTAACTTATTATTCGGGATGTTTGTAAGAGTTTGTAGCCTAACCTATTGAACGGATCTCGATACTTGGCATAGATGTAGAGGGTAGTCTGGAAGAACACACATAATAACACTATTTCTAATTTCGCGCGAACGGGGTCGCGGACGAATGTTATTGTAAAATAATATCAAATTATGATTAGCACGAGAGGGCAGGAATTTGACGATTTATCTTAATTGGAATTCAATTCAGAATCCAATAACCGCAACGAATTATGTCCGACGCAGTATCGGTGCATTACATAGAATTTCTAATCACCAATCTAATATTTGTTGATTAATTATAAATTACTATTATTATGATTACAACTAATTTGCGGTTTAATATATTGGTTAGTTAACTTAATAACATTCATTTAATCAAATTAACACGAGTAATACTTAATTTAATTCTCACTTAATATTATAATTGTGAATATTTGGATGGATGGAAATGGCATAGATGTAAATGATAGTCTGGAAGAACACATAGCCTACTTACTTTTGTTTGTAATTCCACGCGGACATAGTCGTGGGCGAAAGCTAGTAGAACATAAAGAGAAGTCTAAAGGCTAACTTTCTTTCGCGGTATAAAGTTAAGTGGTGTAACCCCATCGAACGGTTCGGTTGTTTCCCCGTAACATAGGTAATGATCGCATAAATTCTCTCCGTGTAATATGTTCTATTACAACTCGTAACCTGATAATGCCTAAAAATTGATATAATTATTCCCTTTCTTTTGAAACTCCACCTATAAGCGACTGGCCACCCGATTCTAGCCTCGTTCTCTCTTGTATGAAGTTCTCTTATTTTCAGTACCGCGGCTGATATATACAAAGTTGTGTTAACAATTAAGTGGACATAGCTATTTGAATCATTCCTAGTGCTTACATGAAAGGGTTAATACAAGTTGCCAGTACGATTTTTCAAAATAGGATGAATAGGGAACTTAATTAGTACTTAGCGTCTACCGGCAACATCAAGATGCCGTGGTTTATTAATAATAAAAGTGGCATTAAAGTCATGTTTAAAACTATTAATATAAAAGTCTTTGAAACTAAATTAATTGCTTAATACGACACAATTTAAACTCACTCCAACACTAATTACGGAAATGCTCGAACGTTGCTACTTGTATTGTTATTACTTGACGTTTTAATAAATTTTAAAACAATGCAGCTACGTTATAACGTTCTTCCTTCGTCGTTAAACTTTATTACTTAGTAGCTTTCACCCGCGACTTCCTCCGCGTGAAATAAAAATAGTAAATAGCCTATGTATTCTTCCAAACTATCCTCTACATCTATTCCAAATTCCATCGAGATACGTTCAGCAGTGTATGCTACAAACTCTAACTAACATCCATCCAAACTTTCGCAGTTACAATGTTAGTAAAATATATTTATTAGAGAGGTTTTTAATTATTCTACTTGATAAACTGACTAATAAATAAGTTGTTTTGTTCAATTAGAAAAAAAAAATGTTTAAACGTCCATCTATCCTTCCATTTGAATTAAAATATCAATTATTTTCACCTCCATGGTTTTTGGGTAAAAAAATCTTCAAAGCTTGCATTTAAATTACGTTCTCTTGAAGCTTTCACTTACATTTTAAAAATACCCCGATGTTTACGTTACAATTTTATCAAAAAGCTATTAAAAGATTTCAAGTTTGATAAATTTACGGCCCACGCTACGGCCACGGTGATAAGTGTCAAATTTGACAGCGTTTAAATCTCCGGGG